TTAGTTATTGCTAATGTTAGATCAGGACATTGGTGAGTTTATCTGGCTGAGTTACTGAAACCTTCCAAGGGCAGAGGTCATCCCCTTTCCCTCATGACTAGTTCCAGCTGCACTAGCCCTAGGGAGAAGTGTTTTCTGATGTCAGGAAGGGCCCTTCCTGTGTGCATCAGGGGTGGCTGAGCTGGTAGTGGCTTTTCTGGGTCGGTAAGGGATGGGATATAAGGCAGGAGAAGCAGGAAAAGAAGCAGGAAATTGCAGCTGGAGTCAGATGTGCTGTGAGTAAAAGACTGCAGGGAGGAATGGGAGAGGTCAGGCTGAGAGAAGACTGGAAGTCAGGACAGAGGTAGGAAATAAAGGAGAATGTAAGAACAGTTAGAGAAAGAGATGTGAGGTAAGAAAGGATGGCTGGAGGTCAGGGGGGTGGAGAGGGAAATCTGTCAGGTTGGTGGGACACTTAGAGGATAAAGAGGGATAGGAAAGTAGGGAGAAGTGGAGGAGCATAAGGAGAAACAGAGAAACTGTGGGAGGCAAATGACAGAGGATGGTGAGATAGCCAGAGGCTGAGAGGGACAGGGAAAGAGATGAAACTGCAGGAAAAAGTATGGGGAACAATGGGAAGTGAAGGGTCACAGGAAGGACTGAGGTGGAGGAAGAAGTATGAGATGGAGGGTGAAGGAGATGGAGGATGGTGTAAAGAACAATGAAGAACAAAAGTGAGGTTGGGGAGGATGAGGAGACGAGGCAGATGGTAGGAAATGGAAGGTGAGGAAGGACAGGCAAATAGTGGGTGGTGTGGGGCATGGGGAAGGATGGAGGACAGTGAGAAGTGGAGGATAAAGAAGGCGGACAAAATGGAAGAGGAAAACAAGGAGATTAGATGGCAGGTGGTGGAGGAAAAGGATATAGGGGAGATGGAGAAGAAGAGGGATGAGGAAACAGCAGGAGATGGACATGGATGACAGGAGGAACAGAGAGACACTAAGGGGATAGAAGGAGTGGAGAGCAGTGGACGAGGATGAACGAGGAGATGAGAAATGTGGAAGTGGAGAAGGTGAATTTGGGTGACAGCAGTTGAAAGGATGGTGAAATGGTGGGAAGTGAGGGTGGATTTTGGGATGGGGAAGTGAAGGAGGTTGAGAGAGGAGATAGGAAGAGAGAAGAGGATGAAGAAAGATGTGGAGAAGATGAGGAGTGGAGGAGGTTGGGTTGAAGGTGGGAGCTAATGGAGGATAAGCAGGGATAAGCTGATAGTAAGATATAGAGGACAGTGGTGGTGGGAGCTGAAGAAGACAGTGAGATGTTGATATGAATATGAAAGGAAAAGCTGGAGGCAAAGCAAGGCAAGGATGGATGGGGCAGGGTGGAGGTGAAGAAGGAAAAAACGTGAGAAGGTGAATGAAGATAAGGAACAGGATGTGGTGAATGAAGGAGCAGGTTAGAGGGATGGGTTGGGATGGAAGTGTGGCAGGAAGACTGGAGGGAGGGATATGGAGGACAGTGGAGGAGCACAGGAAGGAGGGATGGGAGGTGGTCGGTGATGGAGAACAAGGAGGGATAGGATACAGGAACACAAGAGGGTGGGAGGGGACACGGCAGGGAGGGATGGGACACAGCTGGTGACAGCACACTGGAAGGAGTGTGGAAGGAGTGGAGAGAACAGGGAGGGATTGGAGGTGGTGAGTGACAGTGGAGCACAAGAAAAGAAAAGACATGATGGAGGATGCAGGAGGACAGGAAGGAGGGACAGGAGACAGGACATGGTGGCTGATGGAGGAGCACAGAAAGGAAGGATGGGACCTGGTGGATGATGGAGGAGGGTAGCAGGGAAGGATGGGACACAGTAGATGACTGCAAGGAAGAAGGGATGGGTGAACAGAAGAGCAATGGAAGAAGGGTTAGGACATAAAACAAGATACACAGGAGGGATGGGATATGGTGGGTCATGTAACATGGGAAGGAGGAATGGGATGGAATAGCACAGGAAGGAGAAAAGAAGGCTGGGTTGGGTTAAGGTCGATGAAAGAGGGATGGAACATGGTGAATCAAAGAGCAGGGATAAAAGGGCTGGGACATGAAGAATGATGGAAGAGCAAAAGGAGGAGGATGGGTTTTGGTGGGTGATGGAGGACCTCAGGGTGGGAGAGTTTAATGGAATGAATGTTAGGAGAGGCTGGGACCACCAGGTGATCAGGGAATCACAGAATCATTCAGGTTGGAAATGATCTCTGAGATCATCAAGTCCAACTGAGAGGCACAAGGGTAGGGAGACATGGGCAGCAGAGGAAAGGGGATGTGGGTGTATGTGCAGGCTGGGCTGAGCTGCTGGGCAGGCTGGGATGGGACAGGGCACCCATAGAAACACGAACATCACAAGGACAATGCAGAGCTGAGGGGAGCCTGGTGTAGGGTGACAGTGCTGGCAGCGAGGACCTGCAGGAGGTGACAGGAGCCCTGGTGGTGTGGCACAGTTGGGGTCAGCACATGGGTATGGTGTCAGGGACAGACAGGCAGGTGAGGAGAGGATGGGACACCATATGATGTGGGCTGAGCAGCAGGCAGGATGGCAGGAACAGAGGGACGGGATCACGTCAGCCCACACCTCCCTCTGCAGCAGCACTGCCCCACACAGGACAGGCAGCACGGTCCCCCCACCACAGCACGGGAAGGCAGCACCAAGGGTGGGAGTGATGGGTTGCAGGGCCTTTATTCACACAAGAAGCAGGCATGACACAGGGGTGCAGGATGGGGTGGGCAGAGAGCCTGTCATCAGGACAGAAGGTGCCCTTCATGCGACCTTGGCATGGGCTGGTGAGAGGAAGCAGGAGGACAGGGCAGAGGTTTTGCCCAAAACATCACCTCGGGTTTCACCCCAGGTTGGGCACTGGCATGTAGACAGGGACGGAATCCATGGAGGGGCTAGAGTAGAATCAGCCACCTCAACACCTTAAGCACATTCTCCCCACAGATTTCTTGCCAGCCTCATCTCAGCCTCCCTGGGAAATGCTCAGCACCACTATTTACAGAGTAAGACAGAACTGACCAATATTACAAATAATTAAAAGGCAGTTGTAAAAATGAGAAACCACATTCCAAAAAGTAGAGAGTCCTTTAAAAAAAAAAACCAAACCAAAACCCCGATTATCCACGAAAATGCTAAAAACCAGCCCAAAAGGATCTATGTACAGGAGACTGGAGCAGGAGATTGCCCGTGGCAGTTCTGGACCCGACTCCTCCGTGGCAGGCAGGGACGCAGCCTGGCCCTGGCTGCTGGTGAGGGTGGGCAGTGCCTGCCCTGAGTCCCTCACCTGGGTGATGAGGGTCCCCCAGGGGCCAGCTGGGTGCTGCAGGAGCAAAAGGCCATCGGTGCTGGGCCTGCTGGGCCCTGGCTGATGCTGGTGTGTCCGGGGACACAGGCAGTGAGTGGCTGTCGCGGAGATGCTGACGGAGGCCGCGACGTGGCAGTGATGCAGCAGCTGCTGCGGGCAGCGAGCAGCTGGACAGGAGAGGGCAGCAGCCTCGGCAGCACCAGCAGTTTTTAAGAGAAACTGCAAGATGACAATGTGCAGAGGCCCTGGAAGCAGTGTACAGAGCTCCAGAGCAATGCACAGAGCCCGTGGTGTACAGAGCTCCTGGAGCAATACACAGACCCCTTGGAACAGTGTACAGAGTCCCAGAGCAATGCAGAGTCCTTGGAGCAGTGTGTGGAGCCCCCAGGACAAGGCACACAGCCTCAGAGCAATGCTTTGAGCCCCAAGCACCTGCAGGCAGCTCCATCTGGATGAATCCCTGCCTGGCCCCTAGCAGGCAGCTTGAAAATAGGTCAGGCAGCTGCCTCAGAAATCTGTTCTCTCCTGGAGCCGCACAGAGGCACCAAGGCTGCTCTGTGCTGGGCTGGGTCGCAGTCCCCAAGCCCCAGGAGCTCTGCAGTGCTGTGGGGGCTGTGGCTGCTGCCCCCTCCCTCCCTGGGTAAGGCTTTTTCTGGTGATGACGGAGGGACACACGGCGCAGACCGTGGGCCACGCTGCAGCCTCCCAACCCACAATCTCTTAATCCAATTGGTGCCTCTCCAATGTAGCTCATTTCGGTATTTTTAAAATGCACTTGGTTTTACATTGCAGGCTGTCCGGAGTTGGGCAGAGCCAGAAGTGGAGGAAAAAAAGAGAGAAAAGAGAAGAAAAAAAAAAAGAAATATGTATACTCAGCACTTGGAGGAGAAATAACTACAAGTGGCCCCAAGCAGGGAGGTGGGTGCAAGGCAGGGGCACCACGGCCCCCGGGGAGCAGGGGATGTGCACACACACACACACACAGAGGCACAGGTCACCTCTCCCCATTGCACCCAGCAATCCCAGCTCTGCAGCTGGAGGAGCCCAGGGACAACCTGGACCCTTGCCAGCTGCGAAGGACCTCAGCAGCACCCCCAGGGCAAAAGGGTGGCCGGGAAGAGCCCCCAGCCAGCCCAGCCCGGGTGACCACAGGGAGCCTCCCGCCTCCTTCCTGCCGGGGAAGCACAGCGGCTGATGCAACCTCGCGGCAATCGGCCCGCGGGATGCTGGCAGGATGCACCGAGCCCAGGCAGGGCAGGCAGGGCAGCAGCCAGCACCCTCCATCTGCAGCATCGCCCCTCGGCCAGGGCTTCCCACAGCAGCCCTGCTGTGCCTCAGCACAGTCCTCCCTGTCGACACCAGCAGCCTCCCCCGGCTGCTCTCCCTTTCTCAGCACCCTCGGCACAGCAGGGTGGCAGGTGACATTCCCGGCGCAGTGGCACCGGCCAGGACCCCCCAGTGCCGGCAGCGGGTCTCTGCGTAGGCAGGAGGTGATGGAAGGGTGTCCCCACACCCCGGGGCTACCGGCAGCCTCCGGCTCCGCATCTGCTTCGTAAGCGTCCCCGGGGCCGAGGGGACGTTTAGGAGACAGATGAGCCCCCGCGGGCTCAGCGCGGGCGCTCTTCCGGCACGGCAGTGGATGGCAGGCACGCTGCGGCCCCCGGCCCCCCGTCCTCACTCACTCGAGGCCCCCGGCTTCTCCTCCGCCCTGGGGGGCTCCGCGGGGTGCAGTTTGCATTTGGAGGGGGAGTGGCGGACCGCAGAGCGGGAAGGCCGGGCAAAGCAGGAGGTGAGGGACTGGGAGCTGCAATCGCACGCCGTGTCCTGCAAAGATAGACAGGGCACAGCAGGGTTAGAGGGGTCAGGCACCCTGTCCCCCGCCACGGCGGGACACCCCGGGGCGCTCCGTGCCTCGTTACCTCGCTGGCTATGGCCGAGATGAGGTCGGGGTCCCGCAGGGCTGCGTCCTTACTGCCCTGACCAGGGGACGAGGGCTTGGGGTCCTCGCAGCTGCCCTGCTTGAGGACCTTCTTGTTCAAGATGCGGGGGAAGTTTTCGGCTGGGTGGTGGGTGGCGGGGCCGGGGTGCTCAGCTCTCTTGCTCTCCTCCCCAGCGGCCTCCTTCTTCTCCTGGGGTGCAGTGGGGCTCTGCGCCCGCCCGCAGACGTTCCTGAAGAACTCCTGCACGAGGCCGTACTTGGGTGCTTCGGGCTTGGCCCGGCTGCTCTCAGGGCAGCCCGGCTTCCAGATGGACTCGGTGCTGCCCGCGTGCTCCACCACGCTGAACAGGCTGGACAGGCCATCGTTGATGTTGCTGAGGACGGGGCTGTCGCGGGTGGTGGTGGAGCGAGCCCAGGCAGAGCCGTTCTGCTTGCTCTGGTGCAAGTTCCACAGGCTCCTGTCCTTGGAGGCGTCCAGCTTGGAGGAAGACCTCCTCTGGAGCTTTGGAGAGCCGTATTTGGGGGAGCAGCACGGCCGCTCGATCCTGGAGTGGACCTTATCCAGGGAGGAGGAGATCTGCTTGCTGCGCACGGACACGAGGGAGGAGCTGCGTGGGGACCAGCTCTTGCCATGCACGCCGGCGCCACGGGGCAGGTCAGTCTGGAGGCCCACGCTCACCGTCTGGATGGTCTGTGTGCCCACGTGGGCCAGCCCCACTGTCTGGCTGGAGGTGCTCTTCACCTTCCTCTCGAGCGAGCTGGAGCAGATGGCCTGGCGCACGCAGTTGGTGATCTCCTTCATGTCGTCGCTCATGTTGCCGGAGATCTCCAGGTCGTGCAGCGAGGGGGGGAAGCGTGGCACTGGTGGCACGGCGCTGTCCCCCGCGCCGCTGTCCAGCAGCTCCTGCTGCTGCTTGGAGAAGTTGCACAGCCACTGGCTGTAGGTGCCCTCGGTGCTGGCCGACTCCTCCGGCTCCTTCGGCTTGGCCATGGTGAACAGGAATCCGGGCTCGATCATGATCTTTCCCTCCTTGTTGTGCACCAGGGGCGCCTCCAGCCGGCGCACCACCGGCGGGCTGTAGTAGATGCGGATCCCTGTCTTATCGGGCGCCGTGTAGCTCCTCTGGATTTGTTTCTGAGCTGGGTCGTGCCCAGAGAAGCTGCTTGCCTGTGAGTAGTCCCAGGAGGAGATGTCCAGCTTCTCCTTGGCCAGGCTGTCAGGGGCAGGTTGTTCGATATTCACATATGTACAGTTTGAAGGAGGAAGGCTGGTGCTGTCCCGGATCCCGTTGGGCAGCATCTGGGTGGTTGAGGATGCCTTTTTGCCCCGGGCATGGTCACCCAGCCCTGGCACATTCTTTCCAGGGAGGTAGGGAGAACAGTCGAGCAAGCTTTCAAACTCTGACATGGAGGAAACAGACTTGGTCCTGTGGGAAAAGAGAGGATGGAGATAAAAAGGGGGCAGGGCAGCTGGGGGACAGCTGAGGCATTCTGCTCCTACCCCAATGGGACCTTCCTGGGCACCCAATCTTGCTCCTCACCGAGAGCCTTTTGCTTCCAGGACTGCCCTGGAACACGGCTGCATCTCCCTGTGACTCTCAGGGATGTCAAGCCCAGTAGCCCCTTCTGTGTTCCAGAGACCACGGAGGCACCAGCACACTCACCTTTTGAGGTTGGTTCCCTTGGCTTTTGCTTCAGAGATTGTCTCCTTGTCTGTGATTTTCTCATTGAGAACCTAGGAGGGCACAGGAGAAAGCTCCAGGGTCAGTAAGCGCAGAACCAGAGCAGGGCTGGAGCTCAGGGGTTGCATCCCACTCCCCTTCCTCACACACTGGGGCACAGCAGTCCCAGGACTACATGGGGCTTGCTGCAACCACATCTATTTAAAATCAGCTTTTTCATAACCCCACAGAAGCTCTTGGAGTTCAGCCATGCCCTTCACGCTCTCATTCTCCTGGTGCTCTCCCTTGCAACCTCATTTGCTGTTTAAGGGGGTGTTAATTTGGGTTCACACATCCTCCCATCTAACCCTTAGCACAGACCTGAGTCCTAGGAGCACTCCACCCTCTCTTACCCACCTCTTTCCAGTTGCTGCCATGCTTCTCCATTTCAGAGTGCTTCAATGCCCATGGATTGGATCCTTTCTGCAACTGAAGAATGTATTGGTCACTCAACAGGTGCAACATGAACCTCTCTTGGCAAGCAAAAGCATGAAACATTCTCAGGGAAAGCAGCAGAGGCTGGAGGACACGTGCAGGATGCGGGACACCATACCTGGTTGAGTTTGTTCTGCAGGTCCTTCACTTGCTGCTCTGCCTGCTGCTGCTCCTCCTTGAAGCGAGCCAGCAGCTCCACCTTCTCCTGGTTCCAGTTCTTCTCGCTGATCTGCAGCTGCTTGGTGAGGTCCATGACAGCGCTGTAGGACTCGGCCAGGAGATGCTGGTGCTCCTCACGCTCCCTCTTCAGTGCCACCTTCCAGTCTGGCAGTGCACGCTCTGCGATCCCTTTGCCAGCCTTTGACTCCAGCTGTGGGGACACAGTGGTGGCTGAGAGGGACCCATGGCTCCAGCGTGGTGCTGGACATCTCCAGCAAACAGGCAGGGCTGCGGGCATCCTGCTTGCCAGTGCCAGTCCCATGCTGCCAGGCTGGGCAATAACCATGTCCCCAAGGATGTGACACACAGACAAGCCATGGCCAGCCCTGACTTGCAGCCACGTCATGCCAGCCAGCCCAGCAGATGGTCACCCAGCAGGACACAGGCTGTATGTCCTGCCTGCCCGGCTGTGCTCCTGCCTGCAGGACATGGCTCCTAGAGAGGAGCAGCATCACCTGCAGTGCTGCTACAGCAGCCCCTAAGGATGCAGCACCACTGGGGTGCTGCCACCATGGCTGTTCTGTTTGCTTTTGAGGAGGAGATATGAGAACTGGGGACTCATGCTCTGCCAGGAGAAATCCTGCCTCTAAAGTGCTGATGCCTGTGTTGGGGAGCTGAGCTGATGTACAGCCATGGGCTGCTGCCAGCACAGCACGAGTGGAAACCTTTCAGCATTGGGAGGCCAGGGCTGAGGGACCAATGGGACTCATCCTACAGGTAGAAGCTTCCCACAGGCTGCCCTCCCTTCACTTCCTGCCTTCCCTTCTGCAGCATCCGCAGGGATCCTGCGCTGTGACTTGGGGTGCGCTCTGATGCTGCTCTCAGCTGCCTGTCCTCAGGAGGGATGCTGAGCCCCTGTCCCATCCCACCCCCCCAGGCAGAGGAATAAAGAGCATCCTCTGCTGCTCCACAGTCAGATTTCCATGCCAGCCCCGTTGCCATGGAAACTCTCCTGCCTGAGCGGCTGCTAATTAAGATTCCCACAGTGCCACCCTGCTCCCAGCCCAGCGCTTGGCACAGGGCACAGGCAGGCGCCCAGAGCCCCAGCAGACGTGGGGAAACTCTGCCAGCCCACAGGGTGCCCGGGGCTCCCACCTGGGCAATGTGGCACTTGAGCTCAGCCCGCTCCATCTCCCAGGCAGCCTTGGCCTTGGTGAACTGCTGCTGCAGCTCGCTGCCACCACGCCGCTCCTCCCGCAGCTCCGTGCACAGCTCCTTCAGGGTCACCTTCATGTCTGCCAGAGTCTTGATGCACTCGTTGGGCTGCAGGAGAATAGGGGTGAACACAGGCAGCAGGAGGGGACCCAAGAGGTGGGGCTCTGTGGGAGCTGTCCTCTCTGCACCCCAGCACTGCAGGCTGCTGCCAAAGGAAGGGACAGGGGAAGCCACCAGGGCAGGGGACCATCCTCAGAGGTGATGTGCTGGGGAGGAGCATCCCCACCCAGCCATGCACCCCAAGAGGAGCCACCACCCCATGCCACACAGCCACAGCAGGGGCTGATCCTACCCTGATCCACCCCCTGGGCTCGTGGGGACCCTGCTCACCGTGTTGGGGGTCCAGGTGTCCCCAGCACACATCTTGTTGTCTGCCTGTTGCTGCGGGGCTAGCTCCTCCTCTTCCAGCAGCAGGTACAGCTCCTTCATGCTGTTCACCTGTGGGTGACACCATGCCTGGGGTGATACAGAGACCCACAGCCTTGGGCAGGGCAAACAGGCATGAGAAACACACCCAACAGTGTGGTCTCCCCTCCATGGCAGCCCACTGTACCTCCAAAAAGTCCTCGCCCTCACTGTGCACCACCTTGCCCTGGCGCCAGCGTTTGAGGAACCACTTGAGCTTCATGAAGAGCAGAAGGAAGCTCTGCCTGAACTGCTGTGACTCCTGCACCAGCAGATTCTTTTCCTGGCTCCAGAACTTCTGCTCCAGCCTCCTCTGCAGGTTCAGGCTCTGCAGCTCAAACTCCCGTCGCAGCAGTGCTTTCTGGTGGTCCTCCTTCAGCTGTGGAGAGACCAGTGGCTCCAGGACAGGCACTGGTGGCAGCGATGTGATGCCTCCCCCCCAGGGTCTGGGCTGAACCTGGTGCCAGCCCCATATCCCCATCCAGGGGACCTGCACCACCCTGGGAGCATGCTGGGGACTGCAAGGCTCTCGTGGGGGAAGTCCTGAGTCCCAGAGGCAGTCCCATGGGGGAAGCCCTGCATGGCTCCAGGCCCATGTGCAAGGTGTGCTCAGCCTTGAAAATGGGACATGCTGTGTGTGCTCCCAGGTGACACCCAGGGCCCCACGTGAGTCACAGGGCTGGAGGTGGTACTGTTATGGGCAGAGAATGTTACCTACTCACCTGGCAGATCTTCTGTGAGAAGTTGTCCACCTCATCCTTCCTCAGCTGCCTCTCCTGTGAGAGCTGCTCCTGCAGCCCCCGCAGGCTCTCGTTGGCCTCTGACAGCACCAGCTGCAGCTCCTTCATCTGTAACAGACCAGGAAGGGGATGGGAAAGGTGGGCTGCACTTCCCTGTGCCCCGCCCTGACTAGGCTCTACAGCTTCCCTTGTCCCCAGCTCTCCAAAGAGTCAACCCCATCCCACAGCCCTGTCCCCAAGCCCGCTAGCCCAGGGGACATGGCTCCCTGCCTGTGCCATACCTCGGTGGCGTAGGAGTCGTTCTCCTCAGCCCGGCAGGTTTTGTAGCTCCGGGGATGTGTGGGGTCCATGTCCTTGGTGTGGGGGATGCGGAAAGGGTCGGCGTCCCTAAAATCAGGCTGCTGCATGCGTGGGCAAGTTAATGAGAACAAACCAAAAGAGCGGGAAGAAAAAAAAGCCAGAAAACAAAACAATGGGTCTCCGAAACAGTAAAGAACTACAAGACAACAAAAAGGATGAGGAGGAGAAGGAGCTTCATCACCATGGCGGGAGACAATGCGGAAACCAAAAGGAAACACAGGATGAGAAGACACGTGGCCTGGATTGTTTGGGGAAAGGGGAAAAAAGAGAGAAAGAGGGAAAAAATGTGCAAACACCAGTTACGGTGCCATGCAGTGACTGGGGGAGACTGGGACCTCGGGCTGGGGGGACCACATGCAGAACAATAGGACTCTGAACAAGTGAGTGTGCTCCAGAAAGGGGCTTGTGCCTGCACCCCAGCCACCACTGACACCCCTGGCACCCGGCACGAGCTGGGACCCCTGAGAACAGCAGGACAGCAGGGCTTGAGCTGCTCTGCACTGCTCCAAAGGTGTTCTCCCTTGGATGCAGATTTGCCCTGAAGCCTTTGCTCTCCAAATTACCCTGCCTGGGTACCTCTGGGGACGGAGGATTCCTGCAAGCTGAGTCCCTTCAATTTGGGCTGCTTTCAGGGGCTGCAGACTGCTCTCCTCCCACCCAGCTCATCCCAAACAAGTAAAGAGTTGAAACACAATGTCGAGCTAAGGCAGGGAGAGCAGCAAAACAATCAGGCCCTGCTAAGGTGGGATTGCACCTGAGAGCCCCTGGCCATGGGCAGGGCAAGCTTGGCACAACCAGCCTGTGCCAGGATGTCCACTGCCTCCCGCCCTGGGCACACTCTGTTGGAGCAGAGTCCTACCTTGTCCCCGGTGCCACTGGCATGCAGTGAGGTGTTAGTTTGGATTTTGCTCTGGAGAGGCAGGAGGGAGGTTACGTTGGGGATCAGGATTTGCTCCGTTAAAGCAGGAGAAAACGTGGTGGCAAATAAAGCGGCAGCTGCTGTGAGGGATGTGGGAAGAAGCCATACCTGGAAGTCGGAGGCATGCTCCTTCTGCAGCACCTCTTTGGTGACGTCGTGGCTGCTGGGACTGGAGAAGGGGAACGAGTCCATGTGCTCCTTGAAGCCGCCGGTGAGGTGGTCCACCTTCCTCACAAAGCAGCCCAGGTCCTGCTGGAGCACACCCAGCCGCATCAGCAGCACGTTCATCAGCTTGGCATCACTGGGGCTGTCAGCAGCGCTGCCCACCGCCTCGCCCAGCAGCACCCCCACACACTCATTGTCCAAGCAAGCCTTCAGCCCCGAGGTGAACCCGTTGGCATCCGAAATCAGGACATCGATCGCTTTACTGACCAGTGTGGCCTGGTCTCGGATGCCCAGCAAAGTCTCCAGGTCCTTGGGCTTGAGCAGCTTGGCAGGGCCATCGGGCGCCTTCCCACTGCCCAGCCCCCTGTCCTGCCCATCAGCGTCGCTGCCGCCCAGGCCGTCCCTCCAGCCGGCGGGGGGGACGCACTGTGCCGAGTCGCCGGCCTCGGCGTCGGTCTCCAGCATGGGCCGGGTGCTCTGGCAGGAGGCCAGGTCGCAGCGCTGCAGGTTGGAGAGCAGCACCCTGTTCTCGTACTGCAGCTTCTTCACCTTGCCGCTGAGCTCGCTGATCTGCACCTTGGCCGTGGCCAGCTCCTCCTGCGAGGGCTCGCTGACCACCGAGCAGCTGTCCTCGGACAGCGTCACGTCCAGCTCGTGGTCAGACTTGTACTTGGTCAGCTCGTTCAGGAGCAGCTTGTTCTGGTCCTCCAGCTCCAGCAGCGAGCGCCTCAGCAGCTCGGCCTCCTCCTCCACGAACTGCAGGTGCCGGCGCAGCTCCGCCACCGTGTCCCCTGCGTCCCCGCAGCTCGAGACGCCCACCAGGAACCGCGAGTCCTGCCCCGGCAGCTCCCTGTCCCCCTGGCCCTTCATGTCGTCCATCTCCGCCCGCAGCCCGCGGTTTTCCACCTCCAGCTCCACTATCCTCCGACTGAGGATGTTGGCTTCCTCCTCCACCAGCTTGAGGTGGACCTTCAGCTCAGCCTCCCGGGAATGGGGAGAGTCAGCCAGCTCCTCCACGGAGAGGGAGCTGTCGAGGTCCCCATACAGGGACCTGTACTTCAGCAGCTCCTCCTTCATGCCATCGTTCTCCTTGGCCAGCTTGGTCAGCTTCTTGCACATCAGGGCGGACTCCTCCTTGGCAAAATGCAGCTGGCACTTCAGGTCTGCGCTGTCCTCCTGGGGACCGAGAGGGGCTGGGTATTAGAAAGATGCTCCCAGAGCTCTGGGGACATGCCACCCTCCCACTCCAGTCATCCCAGGGAAGCTGCTGGCTCTGCTCCTGGATGGGGAAAAGCTTTGACACCCATCCTGTAGGCTTTCAGGGTGAACCTGGAGATGGGACAGGATGCCCTGGATGAGGAGACCTGTGGGTCTTACCCCAAGAAGGACATTGAGCCACCACCAGGATGTGTGGACCAAGTCCAGCCTGATCCACACCAGAGCAGAGGGGAAGGGAAAGCTCTCAAGACTCCACAGGGTTACTAAGGTTTCCTCCCCAAAACTGTCACTGCTGCCATTGCAATGCCCTTGTCAGGGCTCTGCTCCTCTCGCTCAGCCCCTCAGTGTCATCACAGGGCATAGAAGCAGCTGAAAACCTCTCAAAGTCCCAACCCCCAGCCTTGCTGCCACCACCTTGCCAGGGCACTGAAAACCCAGGCAAAGCCTCAGCATCAGCTCGCTAGTCCCTTCCCAAGCCCCTCTGCTTCTCAGGACCGTTTCTCCATGTGTTCCTTTTTTATTCAGCAGTTAGGATCTTGGCTGCTTGCCCAGACAGACCGTTTCTCTGCTCTGGGAGCTTTTTGGATGGAGGACCAGGATTTCCTGACGTCCAGCTTACAGCTTCCCGTGCCCTGGGGTCACTCGAGTGCTCTGAGCTCTGGCGTGGTCACTGCCAGGAGGGACCTGCTGGGCTGTGACCCTCACCTCCCTGCAGCCGCTGGAGCTGGGCACTGCTGGAGGTGGTCAAGCCCTTTGGCTGGGTGGCTGCTGGCCCTGGCAGGCCTCTGCCTGGCTGAACTCACCCCCTTTCCCCTTTCCTTGGCTGGAAAAAACAAGCTGTCCCCTTCTTTGGGTGCTCTGGAGCCCCAGCCCCCCCAGCCACACCCACACTCACCCCAAACCCTGCAGCAATATTTACTCTGCAGACTTCCTGGACTGCTCATAACAAGCCTAGGGGTGATGGAAAGCTGGTTCCCATGAGTTTGGGGTGCCATTTCTTTCCTTAAATGTTCTGCTGTGACCACAGGAACCACCCTGCTGCACTCCCATGCTTGTGCACCAGGACACGACCTCATTAAGGAGCATTAAAGCTGTGCCCCCCTAATTAGGTGAGGAGATTAGGGGAGGGCTGGTGCAGGCAGGGCAGACATGACCTCAGTTCCTGTTTTTCCAAGAGAAAAAAAAAGCAAAAAAAAGCAGCAACCCAGTGTGTCCCTCTATGCCTTGGTATCAGCAAAGAGACACACACACATCCCCAAGACCACCTGCAGTGCTCCTGGGGTCTGGGCAAACCTCAGTGCTGAATCAGTCCCTCCACAGCTCCATTTTCGGGGAGCGCTGAGGCTCACCCAGCACAGACAGGCAGGAAAGGGGCCCAGGAAGCCACAGATGAGTCACAGCATTTATGCCTGCAGGGCCACCAGCCACAGGGAGCCGATGGGGGCCACATCCAGGGGCATCTGCACCCGGGGAAGCCCAGAGTTCCTGGAGCATTGATCCCACCACAGAACTGGGGCCACCATGGCCCCAAGCTGAAGAGTCTTAGCTCCATGGGGGTGTGGGAAGCAGAGAGGGGCGGGGTTGTTTCCTGGCCCAGGAGGATGCAGATGAGGGGCTTCAGCCTCAGGAAGGAGGTGATGGAGGAGCCCACTCAAGTCAGGGCAGAGCTGGCTGTAAGTGCTCTCTGGGGAAATGAGGGGAAGGATGCTGGGACCATCAATTGGCCAGAAAGGGCTCTCAAGAATGGAGTTAACAGGAGGTGATAAATAAAGACTGAAAGGGAAAGTCTTTGAGGGCCTGGGGGTCTCTGTCCTATGGCTGCACAGAAGGGCCTGTGCCAAGAAGGAGACAGGTCACCCAAACCCCTTGGGTTGCTCCGGGTTCCTGCCATGAGACACTCAGCAGCATGTCACGAGTGTTTTTACATGGTCTGCCTCCATGTCTCAGCTTTGGGGGAGCAGATCCGTTCCCCAAAATAAACCCTTCAGGGTTTTTGCCTTTGAAAGAGGATTTTTCCTCTTGCCTTTCTATCCCTGCAACAGCAGCTCTGCCTCTCCGAGCCCTGGTAACAGCATTAGCGAGTCACAGCAGCTCAGCTCAACAGCAAGTGACAGCTGAAATCCTGCTGCCACCAGCAAATCTCCCTTCCCTGTGCTGCCCCAGCAGCCTGTGAGGGGCAGGAGTGGTGTGGCCTCCAGCCACCCCCACAGGGACCCTCTGCTCCCCCAGATGCTGTGAAGCTCCCAGACCACCCTCAAGCACAGCTGCTGGCACTGGCAGGAGGGACACGGGCTGCAAGAGCCACAGGAGCAGAAGCAGCTTTGCAACTCCTTCAGCTCCTTACACAGGGAAAGGGTTAAAGCCACAGCCTGGCCACTGCTGCTCCATTGATAAATGAGACAAGGGAACGGTTGAGGACAAAGAGGATGGCCCAGCACATCAATCCCTCCCTTATGCAGGGGCTGAGAGGCAGGAAAGCTCTTCAAAGCCCTGCAAGAAGGGGATGGCGCTGTCATGCCCAGATTTACTCCTGGTCTGGGCTCAGTCTCCAGCTGGCACCATGACCTGGGGGGTTGGTGGGTCACTGGGGCATGCCCTGGGTGCTCAGGTGCTGATACCTGCACTGATGGCTTCTTCTCAGTCTTGCCCATGGAGCGAGACCCCCGCTTCTTCAGGGAGTTCTGCAGGAAGAAGAGAGAGTTATGATCCACAGCAATGGCACTGCACCCCAGCAGTGACAGACAGACAGACAGATTCAGTGTGGGTGCACATTGACACTGACATTCCCAGGTGCTCGTGGACTCCAGGAAAACACACGAGCCCTGGTGGGCTGAGGGAGACCCTTCGCTTTGAGGGAGCTGCACTGGCAAGCTCACATCATGAGGTTTGGCCAGAAATTCCCCCTGCAGGCAAACGAGCAGTGAAAAAGCAGGAGTGAGCAGGAAATGAGCCATGGAGAGTGGAGAGGCTGAGTCACTGTCCCTGTCAGGGCTGGATGGAGCAGGGAATCCAACCCCCACCCCACCAAGCCAAGGGACAGCTCTCAGGACATTCCAGTGTGGGAGCAGCAGATGATGACATTCCCCATCGCCTTTTCCCCAAGCAAGGGACATGTCCTGGTCCCTCAGCAGCACGATGCTGACTCTGCTGTCAAGGTCACAAGGGGACACAAGGGACAATGCCCAGGCTAGTGAGCACAGCTAGGAGGTGGGGAAGGCGGACAGAGCAATAAGGCAGACCAAAAGCATGGTAAAATTGCAGGTGCCCAGAGCAAAACGAGTTATCTGGGAAAGGGAGCTTGGGCAAGACCCTCAAGAACATCCACACAGCCTCCCATGAGCACTGGCTGATCCATGCAGCTGCCCTGGACCTATTTCCAAACTGGTGCTGAGGCCCAGCAGCCAAAGAAAGCAGCTGTGAAATGTAAGCTGCTGCCTGTGCCAAGGTGCCGGGGCTCCAGGCTTTCCTATTAAGGCCACGACCATCCCTGGAGCTGCTGGAGCTGCAGAGCCTCTCCCAGGGGCTGGTTGTGCCACATCACATCCCTCCCCCACACTGTGCTGGGGACTGGGCTGGCAAAGGGCAGCACCAGCCCCAAACAGCCCCAGGCACAGCCCCCTGGGGTAGATGTGGCTGTCACTGCTCGAGGTGGCCATGGCTGAGGGTCCCATGGCCAAGCTTAGTGTGGCAGGCTTGGCATGGGGTACCCACATTGATCCCACTTTTTCCTACTCCTTCAGGGGACAGGAGAGGGGAAAATGCCTGTGCCTTCGGGAATGATCCCCAGACAATTATCCAATTATGGCAGAAACCTCTTGGAAGGGAGGAACAATCAGCCCTGAGGGGTGAGTGCAGCCCTGTGCAGCCTTGGCTCTGGCTGCTAACAAGCTCTGCCAGGCTCTGTGCCCTGCAGCAGCAGGGAGGAGGAGGGCTTTTAGCTCACATTGTCTAATGTTTGCCTAATTAGCACTCTGCAATCAGTGAGTAACCCCAACGCCCTTGCTAGCCTGGGGATGCGCCATCCTGAGCTTGGGGACCATCTCTGAGCCTGTGCCAGCCGGCAGTGTCCCCAGGGCTCAGGCAGTGGCTGCCTCTCGGAGCTCCCCATGCCGACCACACAACCATTTTCCCTGCCTGTTTTCCGAGTGCGGGAGAGCTCCAGCCCAGCTCCCACTGCTGCCATTTGTTATTCAGCTCGCACTCCCGGCTGCAAGGGAAACCCATTTCATGGCTGTTAGCGGGGGATGCACAGCCCGGGGACCAGGCACCCGGTGTGGGGGATGCTGCTCCGTGTCACCGGTGCGGGGATGGCTGAGAGGGGATGGTACAGCCGGATCCTGCAGCTTCCCAGGCGCTGGGCTCGGCTTTAAGCAGGGATGGCCCCCGACATCACAAGCTGAGATCCCAAGCGAGCAGGAAGCAGGGTGAGGGAAGTGAGAGCCTTCCCTTGGCTGTCTCCTCCCCCACACTGCCCTGATGGCTCAGCCAGAAATGCATCCCGAGGCTCCCCGGGGACCAAAGGCATCCCGGGCAGTAGGGAAGTGGGTTACAAGGGCTGCAATGGATCTCAAGTCCATGCTGTCACCAGGATGCCTTTCCCGTCACCGAGGCTTACACAGATCTCAGTCAGAAGCTGGCCCCAAACACAGCATGACGTGGAGTGCTCTAGACCTGTGCAGATGGATACATCTGTGGCTGCCCAGGACACAGATGAGATCCTGCACCCACCCAGCTCCACAGCACCACTGGGACACAAGTGCTGGGACATCTCAGCCCAGTTTGAACCTGCAGGATGTAGTCAGGATACAGCCAGCACCAGGCACTCTGCCAGGGACAGGGACCTCACACATTATGTGGAGCTTTGCCCAGATGGAATTGGGTATGGCCCAGGGGGCTGGGCTGAGCAAGTGGCCAGGGACATGTAAAGTGTCCCCAGTGCCACAGTGGGGAAGTCCTGTAGCCCTGGATGGGGCAGAGCCAGCCCGTGCCTGCAGGGTGGGATGAAGCATGCCAAGGGCAGGTGCTGCTCGGGTTTCACAAGCATCTGTAGCAAGGTTTGTGTTTCAGTGACTCAAACACGGCTGGGGGATCCCATGAGCCAGGGCCAGGACACCTGCTGTGAGCAGAGCCTTGGGGATGTCTCCCAGTCCCCCTCCTGTGTCCCACTCACCTCTCTGAGCTTGTCCATCTCGTTCTGCACCACCTGCTTGGCCAGCTCGGTCTCGATGAGCCGCTGCCGCAGGTCCTCGTTCTCCTCCTCCAGCCTGATCCTCTTCTTCTCCACCACCTCCAGCTCATTGTGGAGCCGCACTGAGACGTCCTTGGCCACCTGGGGACACAACAGGGCTCTCATCAGACTGGGCACAATGTGCAGGGGGCTGAGACTACACCTCCTGGGCACCCACAGTCCTCATGCAGAGATCACCAGGCAGTTACTGAGACTCTCTGGAGGGGGGTCACCGTGACCCCCCGGCCCTTGTGTCTGTCCCCTCAGTCATGAACTGTGACTGCTGTTGTTCCTTCACCAGCTGCAAGGCTGCTCTGCATCCCCACTCCCTGGCCAAATCCTGCCTTCTCCAGCCCTAGCATGACACTAGGAGATGTTCATCACCTTTTTCCCATACCACAAAGCTGGAAAAGCCCCTAGAAGGCTGGAAGAGCTGGTAGGCAGCAGCAGAGCAGGAAGCCTGTCGCTGCAGGCAGCAGCTGTGCTGGTCAGGAGAAAGGCGAGCTGCTGCATCACATTACAGAAAAACCAGCAGCTGCCCCGTGTAAAGGGTGCCTACATCCACCCCAGAGCTCCCCTCTCCTGCACAGGAGCAGTCCCCAGAATAAAGGGAGCTTCATCACATGAAACATTCGCTGCTGTATTTGCAGGAGAGCAAAAACTGTCCCAAATGCCAGCGGTCTCCTGCACAGCCTGGGATATCAGCACTGTAGAGGCAGCAGCAAGCCCTGCTGCAGGGCTGGGGGATCTCAGGCCATGGGGTCGGGCTCCTGCTCCCCCGAGGATGGGCTGTGCTTTCTTTCCCAGAAAGGGAGAATCTGGAGGGGGTGTTTTTGGCAGCAGCAACCCAAGGCAGGGGGGGAGCTGCTGGGTGGTTTGGGGAGGGGTTTGGGGCCCCAGCAGGGATGGGGAGCGAGGAGGGTTCACAGCCCCACACTTGTGGCACATCTTGGCTGCAGGACCAGCTGTTTTCTGCTCAAAAAACAAAGTTAGTCCCGAGCTGTTGCACATCCATCCCGAGCTGTCTCCAGCTGCCACTGCACCCCCTCTTGGCAGCCGTCTCGTTGGTGAGAGCCCTCAGCAAACACTCACCAGGCTCCTCGAGGGCGAAGCAACGTCATCCTGCAGAAATCCTCTTGTCCCTGCCCCAGCCCCGCATGCCACCATGCGTGGGGCTCTGCAAGGTTTTCCCGATGGCCGAGAGCAGCAGCTCCCAAGCCTGCAGGGTCCTGGTCCTCACACTCCCTCCCTGCACACTCATGATGCTCCATCCCGCAGTGGTGACCCCATCCCATCCCATCCCATCCCCATAGGAGCAGGATAAGGGAGCTCAGCCCCAGGGCACAGGGCTGGGCTGGGCTCCAGCCTGCACAGGATGAGCCTCACATATGCCACATCCTCAGGCAGTGCTGGTCCTCTCCACCACCAGGATCCCCTCAGACCACCTGTGAGCACTGCTCCCACATCAATAATGCTGGCAGGGAATTATGCTGTCTCCAACAAAACCGCACATCACCACAAACGGCACATCCTCACAGCGCTCCCTGCACCTCCACGCCCACAACTCATCAAAACCCCCTCTGGGGGCTCTGGGGGTTGCCTGGGTGGGGAGGTGCCCTCGCAGGCTGACCTTGACGTCCTGCTCCAGGCTGTGGATGAGCTCTCCGTCCACCTGGCCGGTCTGTGCCACGCGCAGGCTGCGGCGCTCGGCCTTGCGCAGCCGGTACTGCAGGATGCGGCACGTCTTGCTGGCCTGGTCCAGCTGCTGCCGCAGCTCCTGCAGCTGGTACACGTCCTCCTCCATGTAGACATCCCTCATCTCCAGCATCTCAGCACGCAGCTCCTCGATCTCATCCTGTGGGGAGATGCTGTGTTAGATCCTACAACTTGCTCTGCTCTCTTTTCCCCTGAGATACCTCCCCACCATGGCTCTCCATCCATCCATCCATCCCATGAGCCATTTTCACAGGTCTTCAAACCCTTGGGCCAAGCCCAATCCTTGCAGGCAAAGGCTCAGAGCCAGCTGGATGCCATCACTCAGAAGTGAGCCAGTCACCCTGAGAGTATTTGTGGTAAAAGAAAGAGGAAGGTGGGGGAGGGAGAGGAGCTGCAGGAGCAGCTCAGGCGGCAGCCTCGGGGACAAAAATTAGGTTATCTTTGGAAAAGATGTGTCAGGGAGGCAAGGGAGGGAAGGAGGAGATGGCAGGCGAGGACAACTGCTAAGGGAGGCAACGTGGGGACATGAACCAGATGCCACTAGTGCTGAGGTTGCCCCTTGCTTTTCTGCCAAGCAGCAGTCCTTGGGCTGGGTCCTCTGTTCCACCTCTTCCCAGTCACATCAGCTCTCCCAGTGACCTCCTCCAGTACAGCAGAGCCTCTGCCACAGAGCAACTGCATCACTGTCACAGCAGAGCCAAGGGTGACATCCTGCTGGTACCAACACTGCTGGTACCAACAGCCTCCTCCAAGGCTGTGGAACACAACTGCTGTGGGGTCTCCAGTGCCACCTCCTCATCCAGAACAGGACTGTGATCATTGGGGATGCTCAAGGACTGTCTCCTCTGGTCCGTGGGGACTGACCAAGCTCTGTCTACATCACCATGAACATGGTGTCAACCCAAATCCCCCAAGCAAACTCCCCAGCCATCACACTGGCTGTTCTCCTCAACAAGACCCCGTGGGACCAGCACACTCCGGGGAAGGGATCAAGCATCTGCCTTCCTGCCAAAACCCCTGCCACTAAAGACCTCCTGACATTGCCAAATGCAATTACCACTTGAGAAGTGAGTGGCTCACACTGCCACTCTGCTCCATGGCATGGTCAGGGAAGGAACAAAAGGATCTGGCACAGACATTGGGGATGCTCAGCTCTGATTCACCCTGGGCAGAGGGGACAGGGCACTGCTCCCCACATTGCTGTGACAGTGACCCAGAGCCTGAGATGGCAGCTCTGTGCTGGCTCTGCCAGGCACTGGCACAGTGGCTGCCACACTCACCCGGCCTGACAAAGCCCCAGCTGCAAGAACTCCCCGAAAAGAGAAGCCAAGCCTCGGGAAAGGGCCGGCAGCTGCAGGGACAAGTCACAGTCGCTCACTGTTGGCTTTAAACACTTTGTGACAAAGGAGGAACGTCAATTAGACAATCCCGGATTATCCCCTGGCCTGGGCTGCCAGCACCATGGCCACCAGTGTCCTGTCACCCTCCACTGCTCTGCTCCTCGACAGGGGGTCTTGAGAACAGATCTGCTTCTGTTCTGTCTCAGAACAGAACCAGCCCCGAGGCTCTGAGATGAGCACGGGCAGTCCTGGGATCACCGGGCCAGGCTGTTCCAGAGACAGCCAGAGACTGTCCTGTGAAGGGGAATCACTGCAGGCATGTCTGGGAAAACCTCCTGGACAGGTCAGAGGTGAAACCCCCCAGGAACGAACCACATATGCTGGCAGACAGCCCTGCAAGGGCTGGGATGCACCTTAGGGTGACAAACTCGATGGGAACCCCCCACCAGCACTGTCAGCTCCCCACCCTTCCCACCAGCAGAGCGACAGCCCTGAGGGCACCAAAAAAAAAAACCCATAAACCAAACCAGCCTGGAGAGCTGGTTAATAGCATCTGTTCCTTGGGAGGTGCCATAGAAAAGAAAGGCATTATGGGTTGCAGGTGAGCAGGCACACTGCAGCAGGTGGGGGAGAACAGCCTTTCACCACCAGAGTCAGGCAAATCGTGGCTTGAATGCAGCTGCAATCCCCTTTCAGTGCTGACCACTCCAGCTCTCACTTGCCATGCGGCTTCCCCAGGCAGCAGCTGAGCAGGGCAGGGAGCAGGGACCTTGGAAAAAACCCAACCACATCTTGCATTTGCTGGAAGGAAGCCTGGGCTTGCCCTGCTAAAGCTCCTGCTTGTTTATGCTTTGGGTTGTAGCAACCGTTATTTTAGGGGGAGGCCGTGTCCAGCCTGGGCAAAGCCTGGAAGTGCAGCCATGGAGTGGAGCTGGGGGGATTTGCAGCACTGAGGGCTGGGAAAGCAGCGTCTGTCTTTGCTCGTGCTGCAGGAATTCACCCACATCCCATAACACTGATAAATCCTCTGAGTGGATGCAGCCTGGCAGGCGCACAGCCTGCCCCAGTTTACCCCATGGAGGCAATGCTGCTAAACCACAGTAAAGGGATTAGGATTGGAGAGTGGAAAAATGCCAGAAAACTGGGAGAGAGCTTGGAGACAGCTGATCTGCTAAGGCAGCACATGGGGGTCCCCTCACAGCTTCAGGCTCATGATGGCCACAGAGCCTCACCCTTTGCACCTGAACATATTCTGGAGTTGATGCTCAACTCAGCAAAAAAATCGGTTTGGATTAAGGCGAGAGCAGAACCAGAAGAGGGGAGGAACCCCACAAAAACATCCCAAATTCAGGGATGGCATTGAGCATGGAGCACTGTAAGTGATGTTAAACGAACTGTGAAATGGTGACAGGTGGGCAACACTGAGGAGGAGATAAATGACTTCTCTCCAACACAAATGCCCCTGGGGACTACCCAGCCGGGCCACTTGCCCTGTAAACAACAGGGTGCCCATCTCTGTGTGGTGTCACAGCCTCCCAGCACCATGGGCTGCCCCCCTGCTTGTCCTCCAGGATCACCCACCACTGCATCCCGCTCATCCCATCTCTGTAGCAGCAAAGATTTCACCGTGCTTTCACACTACAAATCCCCGGTCTTGGAAAAAACGCTGGGAATCCAGAGTCCAGAGAGACTCATTTGAATGCCCCAGGGATTGTGTGCAGAAGCAAACACCCCATTTCGTGGCTGCAGGAGCCAGGTTATGCTCAGTGGAGCAGCTCAAAGGACAACCTACCTTCAACCTCCTCTGCACAAACCTGGGAGACACTGTCTCTCCCCGGGGAGATCATTAAAGAAACTAAGAAACGGAAAGGTGGGATGTAAACTGCCTGTCTCCAGTTCAGGAAAAAGAAACCAGGCATTTTTAGAGCAGGAGGAGGCAACAGCTGTGTCCACTCTTGCACTTAAAGGACACCAGCTTTTTCAGGAAGGGCTGAGCTTTGGGGTGATGACCCTGAGCAGTGACAGGGCAGGAGAGGGACCAGTGGAGATGGCAGAGCAGAATGCAGACCAGACCTATTACAGGTTGCAGAAGCAGAACTAAACCCTCAGATCTCCTGCCCAAGGGGAGTTACATGTTGACTTTTTTGCACCTGCAAGAATGCAACAAGCTCTGAGCAGAGCAGGGGACACACACTGCAAACCCAGCAGGACCTGCTATCTCCAAGCAGCACAAAACAGCAAGGGACACCAAACAGGCTCATGCAGGGCTGTGGTGCCCCTGACAGCACAACCCTCTCACCTTGCCAGCCCCAGGCTCTGGGGCACAGCCAAGCAGCAGCAGCCTGCCCAAGGGCAGCATTTTGGGGGGCACAGCCCTGCCTGCACCCTCCAGCCTCACCCCCAAACCTCAGCAGAGGAGGAGGAAGGGTGGGAGCTGCCTGGATGTTTGGCAGAGCTGCCTTTGTGCAGAGCTGGGGCTGTGCTGGCAGTGGGTGTGCCTGTGGCTCACCACGATCCCCGTGCAAAAACGGGGATTACTGTGCAGGAGAGCAACAAGCACGGCTTCCTCTGAGATTACTGCACAAAAGCAGCAGCTTTCAATTAACTCTGAGCACCCGTCAGGCAGCACAGGGAATTATCTCTCAATTTGCTGCGGAAAAAACGCAAAATCAGAGGGGATTTTTAAAGGAAACTGCCCAGGGTGCCCAGGCACGTCCCCTGCCAGCAAAGGGAACCCAGAAAATGCAGTGCACCAGAAGCCCATGCCAGGGTGCAATGGGGGAAGGATGGGCAAGGCACAGCCATGTCACACACAGGGGTTTCTCTGAAACAGGGGTGCATGAACAGCAGCTCTGACAGCAAACACCGGCCATCCACGGCACCCTGGAGCTCAGTGCATCAGCCTGTGTGCTGATCCCTGCCCCGGGCTCTCATGGCAGCTCCCCCTTGGCAATGAGAGTGAGGGAAAAATCAACATTTCGCAGCTTTACACCTGCCCCCATAAATTACCAGGCAAACAGCTGGGGGCTCTCTACAGCCCAACCCATGCTGTGCACCATCCAAAGAGGCTGCAAAGCCCCTTCCAGTGTGGCTGCTCAACAGAGCTCTATTCCCCAGCTCTGCAGGTGGTTACTGGGATTTCCAGGCATGGGCCCTGCCCCTGTGGGCAGCAGCAGAGCAGGGGCTCAGTGCCAACCAGGCTGCCCAGACACAGCCCCCAATGCCCCTGTGGGATGCTCTCAGAGAGCCCTTTGCTGGTGGCATCACTACCTTGGGAGAAACAAGGCACCCAGCCATTCTAAATGTATCTCCACAGAGCTGGGAAATGCATGTGAGCCCCCAAGGGATGTGGGATGACTCAGGGCAGGCAGCAGGAGGGGGACAGGCAGCAGAAAAGGGCAGGCAGCACTGTGCTCCCAGCCCTACATGGCTCTTGCTTAAACCCCTTCCCTTGGAGAGGAGAGGAAAGGGTTTGCAGGCATCCCCTCCCCTTGCTCCAAACCCTCCCGTGCCCACTCTTTGTCTGCCTGTCACTCCACAGCTGCTGCAGTATCACATCTCACATTTTCCAGCCTGCTGAGCAGGGCTGGGAGCTGCTCTCCATTGCATGGCTCAGCAACAGCGAGATGGGGCAAGGACACCAAGCCACCTCCTCCCTCACCAGGCTGCCAACCTGCCTGTGAAAGCAGCCCTTTTTGGGGAAACGCTTGGAATAACCCATTTGGGGGGGTCACAGCAGGTGCACAGGCCTGAGAGCAGGGGCCAGAGGAGATCCCAGCCTGCCCAGCACACCCAGGAGGAGGAAAGCAGTCTTCCCCAAATCCGGTTTGCAAAGAGAAATGGGTGAAGTGTGCTTAAACAAGTCGGTTTTATGATGGCAGCCGAGGAAAGATGGGACGTGAGCTGGCACTGCTGGAGCACTGCTGGGAAGCTCCCAAACCCAGCGTCACACGGGTGTAGTAGCACCACACACGGCTGGCTCGTGCCAGAACGTCACCAAAGCCCTCCCACCCCCAAAAATCCTCATCTCGCTCTAAATACGCACTAGGTTCTAGCTGGTGCTGATGAATACATGAAAAAAAAAAATTCATTTGCAGGTTTTTGGGTGAGTCCCAGGAAATAAGTCACCTGGGATAAGTCTGATTCATCCACACCCTAGTGAAGAAGAGCTGCATGGCATGATGGGCAGTGCCAATCCCTTGGGTTAAGGCTTTTACCACCCCAGCCACCTCCTGCTCCAGAGCCAGGAGAAGCGAGCTACAATACGGAAACATGGATATAAGCAGGATGCACAAGTCAGGGAGGAGACACCAGTGCTGCCAAAGAAGGGATGGTGCCACCAGCATCCCCATGGCCATTCTTAGTGCATGCCTCCAGCAGCTCTACCCTCTCCCACTGCTCCTGGCCAGAGGATTTCAGCTGCCACTCCTGAGGGCAGGTAGATCACTGGCAGCCTGCTGGCCTGCAGCTTGCCAGGAAGGAGATCACGTGGAAATGGAGGAAGCGCTCGCTCTATCCGCAGGAATGGCAGCGCTCGCACGCGTGCTCTTGGAAACCCAGGGGTCTCATCTGTGTTTTTCCAACTCCCAGTAAATCAAAGCCCATAAGCTGTTGCTGCTAATTCTGGCAGGAGTTGGGACACCAGCCATGAACTGGGGCTTTGCTAAGGGACAAAGGGCCTGATTGAGCATCTTCAGTGCATCATGCAGTGCCCACCTCCGGGCTGGAATCCTGACTCTTTCACAAACTTGGGCAGCAGCAGAGGACAGCTGGCCTGACTTCCAGCTTGCAGCACCCAAAAAGCAGCTGGGGACCATTGGTACCCAGCCTGAGCTCGCCAGCAGGTGACTGCCCAAGCAGCTCAGCCACAGTTCCACCCTGAAGGAGAGCAGAGGGCACAAAATGCCTGCAGCCGCCCCAGGACGTGGCACCTGGTGGGTGCCGGTGCCCATCAGCCTGACGTGTGACCAGAGGTGGGACACGTCCGTGTCCCTGTCCCCTCACAGCACATCTGTCCTGGCTCAAACACACCCCTATGAACCAGGCAGACCCGGAAAAAGGCCCCAGGGAGCACAGGAACCAGAGGGAAGAAGAGAGCTGGAAAATGTCCCCAGGGTCTGGCAGCAGCAGGAGCAGACAGGGAGAGCAGCAGGGAGCCATGCCCAACTGCCAGGCTATGCCCAGCTGCACGGGGTCAGGTTATGCCATACTGTGTCCCAGGACGCCCAACAGGGCTGAGCACATCCACACCAAGCTGAGCTGTGCTTTGCTAAGTTGTGCCAGCCCAGGCTGTGCCAAGCCTTGCCATGCCAAGCTCAGTACATGCTAGGCTTGGTCATGCGGCACCCCATGTGCCGTGCCAGGGCAAGCCACGCCCAGCTAGGTCACGCCTGGCTAACCTGACCCACCTTGTGCCAAAGGCTGCCCTGTGCCAAGCCATGCTATGGAACACTGAGCTGAGTGGTGCCCAGCCACACCACACCATGCTGGACCATCCCCAGCTGAGCCATGCTGTGCCAAGCTGGGCTCTGCCCTAAGTTTAGTGTGGCCATGCTAGGCTTAGACAAGCCAGGCACTACATCTTGTCATGTTACGCTGTGCCAAGTCAAGCCCAGCCACAGCATGCCAGGCCACCCCTGACTGTGCCATGCTCAGGGATGCCAGGCTGGGCTGAGCCATGCCAAGCCCTGCACCCAGCCATGTGCTGTGCTGCCCATCTGAGCCAGGCCAGGCTGAGCCAGGCCATCCTGAGCTGAGCTGTGCCCAATGCCCAGCCATGCCTGGCATGCTGAACTGCACCAGGCTGGACCCGAGGATGCTGTGCCACACTGAGCTACACCTTGGGATGCAGTGCCATGACACGTCATGCCATTCCCAGGGATGCTGTGTCATGCTGAGCCATGCTTTGACATGCCATGCTGTGCCATTGCCATTGCCATTGCCAGGGATGCTGTGCCATGCTGCGCTGTGCACAGGGATGCCACGCTGTGATGACAAGGGATGTTCTATTGTGCCCAGGGATGCTAAGCCATGCTGACCCTGCCCTGGGATTCAACACCATGCCATGCTAAGGCCAGGGATGCCGCACCATACTGAGCCATGCCCTCAGATGCCCTGCAAAGCTCTGGGACGCTAAACCACGCTATATAGCCAGGGATGCTGACCGTGACTGACCCGTGCCCTGGGATGCCATGCTGTACCACTACTGCCCAGGGATCCCCTGCCACACCGAGCCGTGACAGCGATGTCACTCCACCCCGAGCCGTGCCAGGGATGCCACACCACGCCGCGCCGTGCCCACCTTGAGATAGTCGTTCTCGGAGCGCAGGTCCTCCAGCTCGCGGAGCAGCCCGTCGGTGCCGGCGTCCAGCAGCTCCTCGGTGAGGTCGGAGAAGGCGAGCGAGGTGCTGAGCTGCAGGCGGCTGCTGGCCACGGAGGCGGCCGAGGGCTCCTCGGGCAGCGGCGACGCCTCTCCGGCCGAGGGCGGCGGCGGCGGGGCGCTGCCCGGGGACTCGCCATCGCTGCCGCTCAGCCCCAGCTCCAGCGACATCAGCTTCGCCTCCTCCGAGGCGCTGCAGTCCGACACCTCCGAGCTGCTGTCGGTCAGCCCGGACCCCGGCCCGGGCCCGGGCACCGAGCGGGGTCCCGACCCAGTCCTTCTCGCCCCGGGGGCCGCCGTCTCGGCTCCGTGCCGCCGGCCCTTCGGCCGCGCCGCACCGCGCCCGGCCGGCCCCTTGCCGCCGGCTCGGGCCCCCGCCGGGCCGCGCTTGTCGGGCCGCCCGTCCTTGCCCCCGCCCGGCCGCCGCGGGTGCGGGTGCGCGCCGCTCGCCGCCAGCCGCGGGGCCGCGCCCGGGTGCCCCCCGCCGCCGCCGCGCCGGCTCTTGGCCAGCGACCAGCCGGGCACCTCCTTGGGGCGGGCGGGCGACGGCGCCCGCTGCGGCTTCTTCTTCCTCTCCGGGAGCAGCGGCGGCGGCGGCGGCGGCGGCGCGGGGGGACCCGGCTCTGCCGGCGCGGCCTCCATCTCCCGCTGCGCTGCGCTGGGCTCGGCCCCGGCTGCGGCTGCGGCCCCGGCCCGGCCCCGGCCCCGGCTCCGCCCGCCGCCGCCGGGCGGGGACGAGCGCGGGCGGCGAACAAAAGGCGGCGGAGGGAGAGTGGGGGGAGGCGGGCGGCCGTGCTGGCGGCAACAGCGACCCCTCCGCCCGCCCGCAGCCGCGCCATCCCACCCTGCCACCGCCGCCCGCAGCCCCGCTGTCCCTCCCAGTGGATGAGGGCATCCCCGATGGATAGGGCATCCCCGCGGTGAGGGGGTCCCCCCCGATGTCTTCAGCAACGCGCGTCCTTTGGGGAGCCGTGACATGGCAGGTCCCTCCCGGCGGGTCCCTGGAGCATCCCTGGGGACGGTGTCATCCCGCGTGTCTCCTGCAGAGCAGGTCGCTGGGGTATCCCTGCGGAGGAGGGTTACTCCGGGGCATTTCAGTTCCTGGGACACCCCTGAGGATAAGTGTCCCTCAGGACAGGTCTGGGGAAGGAAGTCCCCAGGGTTTCCAGAGCACTGAGAGTCCCCTGGGTGTTCCTGTAAGCGCAGGTCCCCCGGGGCAGTCTCAGAGGCGAAGGTCCCCGAGGGATGCTGAGGGTGACAGCCCCCCGGGGCACCACTGTCAGTGCGGGCATCCTCGGAGCTGCTGGTCCCCCATGTGCCCCGTGGGTGGGAGCTCCCCGGGACCCCTGTTGGTGACGATGCCCTGAGACAGCTCCGCTCCCCGCCGCGCTGCCCAGGGTCGGATCCAGCTGCCATCCCAACAGCAGGAGCGCGCACAGCCTCTCCAGGGGGAAGCCTGGAGCAGCGAGTGCCTGTTCAAGTCTGCTCCCACCCACCCGCCACGTCTGTCGTACGTTACCAGCCGGCCCCAAACCCACTGCGGAGCATCCAAAGGCTGAGTTTGAAAAATGCTCCTCGGCTGTATTTGTAAAATGCTCCTCTGTGCTTTCCCGCGCAGCAGCACGGCCGCCGTGGAAGCGATGCTCTGCTGCATCACACAGATCCCGTCACCCCCTCGCTGCTCAGATTCCATTTTTAATGCTGGGCAGCACAGCCGCAAGCCAGCGCCTTCTTTTGCCCGGGGCAAACCCGATTCTGGCAGAGGGGCAGAGCCCGCTGCACGTCTCGGTCCTAATCTGCCCAAAATAAACACACGTGGGGTTTATTAGGACACTGCTCAATACCCCTCTCTGTTCAGCTCTCAGCCCCCTGCCCTCCTCCCCAAGCACCTTCTGGACACAGGATGGGATTGCATTCCTACTCTGCCCTAAACCAGCTGTGCATTCCGCACGGGAAAATCAGGATTGTATGGCAAACCCAGGCTTTTGTCGCAGGTATCACTCCCTGCGGCTCGTGGCCTGAGCAAGCGCTGTAAATTGGTGTGTGCCTCTGGCCACGGCTTGCTGAGCCCCCCTGTGGCTCCATGGATGCCAAGGCGGTGTTCTCCAGCCTGTCAGCAGCTTATGAACGTGACAAGAGCGATGTGGGTGGAATAAGGGATCCCAGGAAGACGAGAGGGGCTCTGTGTCCCAACCCCGCGCTGCAGCACAGCCACTGCACTGGGAAAGGAAGGTCCCTGGGCATGCTGCCCTTTCCAGGATGCATCGCAGCCACAGGTGCCGTTTTCCAGGCTCTGGCACCTCACCTGCAGGAAAGCAGGCTGAGCAGTACCAGGTGCTGCCCCACAGCGCAGGGCACGAGGGATGGGCGGAGGATGGCACGGACCTGCCCTTCTGTACGTGCTGCAGAGCAGCCCGAGCCCTGTGCCCAGGGCTAACGGGAAGCTGCTGTCCCCACGGCTCGCAGCATCATTAGCGGCGCCGTGCCTCAGTCCTGCATGACTGCACATGCCCTGAGCGGGACGGCAGGCGCTGACCCACCAGCGCTGCGCTCATTAATGATGATCATTAGTTCCGCTCCGAGCAGTGGCTAATTGCGTAACACTGGGCACACGGTGGCTGCCCTGGAGGAGCCACACAGCTGCAGGGGAGCGAGGGATGAGGGCAGCATGTCCGCAGCCTGCTCCTTGGGAACAACCCCCAGGATGCCCCAAATTCTGCTTGGGGCTGAGCACAGAGTGAAAAAGGCTTTCCCAGAGAGCAGCCTCCCTCAGGAAGTTCACCTCCCAGGCTCTGCCAGATCTCATCACTCACAGCCTGCTTGTGGGAGCTAAAGACTCATCCTTGCCCTCCCAGCCTGACTCTGCCTTGTCCCCACTCCTGTCCAGATTGCTGTACCTCTATTGGGATGGTGTGGCCAGGTTTTGGTGGGGGGGGAGGTGAGAAGGTGTCAGAAGCTTCCCTCATGTCCAGCACAGTCAATCCCTGGTGGCCCAAGATGGATGTAAACCCTGCCTGTAAACCTGGCCATACAAACCCAATGCAGCACCTGAAAGGGGACAGGACATGAATCCCATCACAGTGGGATTGCATCCACAGTGCATCCAGTGGTACCTGTGCATCCCCACAGGCATGTTGTGTCTCACCACCTTTGCAGAGCTGGCAACAGCCTTTGGAGGCAGGTGAGGGCTGAGCCCCATTCTGGGACTGCTGCCCAAGGGAACAGGGCTCAAAGGCGGGAGCAGGTTTGGGGTGGAAGTGGGAGGGATATTACCAGACCTCAGAACATCCCCTGGGGCTGGAGGCAATGCAGGCAGCCAGGTTTAGAGCTGAGGCAAGGCTGCCCTGTGCTCACCATCATCACCCTGGCACCAACTCTGCTGGAGGGGACAGAGCACTCCATGGCCAGAGCCCTGCCAACTGATCTCATTGATGGCCTATTGTAGTAGTTAGTCCTGAACTAGTTGTTCCCAGGAGAATTATTCAATAAATTTGAATTAAATGTGGGCAGGCAGCTTTCTGAAGCCTCTGAAAGGAAAGCAATGAGCTTAACCAGCCCCCTGGGCCCTCAGGAGGTCTGGCTGGCAGCCAGCAGGAGCCGGGATCCAGCACATCCCTGAGCAGTGCAGAGGGAAAGGTGTCCTCACCAGCATCCCTCCACTGGAAATGGGGCTGGGGCTGTTCTGGCTCTCAGCAGGGCCAGGCTGTGGCTCTGCTCTCCAAGGCAGCTCTCCTTGCACAGGAACAGCAGCTCCAAGCCAGCCATCGTCCAGAACACACTGACCTCCATCTCCTCATTCAAGTCATCCAGCAGACAAACTCGGGAGCTGACAAAGGCCAGCAAAAGTCAGGCTGCTTCAAATTCAGAGTTAAACCTCCTCATCCCCACCACTTACCAAAGCAGTGCAGCAAGAGATTTTTTAACAGGGTTGTCTGTTCTCCATGGCTGCTACAAGCCCAAGCAGGGCGTGTGCCGGTTCTCCGTGCTCCAGGAGGTTCTGTCATGGCTGCTTTGGGGTCCCTGCAGTGGCTATAAGGGGGTCTATAGGGTCCCTGCAGTGTCTATAGGGGGGTCTATAGGGTCCCTGCAGTGGCTATAAGAGGGTCTATAGGGTCCCTGCAGTGGCTATAAGAGGGTCTATAGGGTCCCTGCAGTGGCCATAGGGAGGTCTATAGGGTCCCTGCAGTGGCTATAGGGGGGGTCTATGGGGTCCCTACAGTGTCTATAGGGGGGTCTATAGGGCCCCTGCATTCGTTGTTTGGGGTCTCCGGGGTCGGCGCCGCCCAGAGGAGCAGCAGCGGTCGCACAGCGCCCCCTGCCGGCCGGGCACAGGAACCGCAACCCATCCCTGCAGGAACCCCAAACCCTGCCCCAGGAACCCCAAACCCTGCCCCCAGGAACCCCAAACCATCCCTGCAGGAACCCAAACCCTGCCCCAGGAACCCCAAACCATCCCCGCAGCATTCAGGGGTGCCCAGGATCAGTAACCTACCAACCATTTCAAATTTATCCTGATGCAGAGCTTGAGACCTGACCTGAGCACCTGCTCTTGCCGAGCTAATGAACATGCCAAGAACACGTTTCAGCTGCATCTGTCCCTCCAGCTCCCCACTGGACAAGCACGTTGGCAGCTCTGCTCATTACATTAATGGAAGTAATTGTATTAGCAGCAGTTCTGGTCCCTCACCAGTAAGCAGTTTCAAGAGATCATGGCTGCTTACATTAATTGAATATGAAAAATCTCTACTCAATTGAAGACTGCTTTGAATGTTGAATAGTAGCTGATTTTCCATCATTGCTGCTTCCTACTTAGCATGCACACCAAAGGCCACTATGAGCTCAGACACAGCACAAAAACTGATTATTTATGCAGAGGCCGAGCACAGCCTGCACCTCTCCCTAGACCTGCAGCACAGCAACAGCCAAAAGACTCAGCCAAGCATCTCAGTCCAGGGTGTGTGGAGCTCTGCTCCATATCATGCCTCTTCTCTTGGCTTGAGGCAGCAGGCTCTGGGAGATCCAGGAATGAGCTATTAAACACGGGTCAAGAGAATTTCAGTCACCAGCCAAACTCACCCATTACTCAGATTTTATTGAGAACAATCCTCCCACACCTGACAGCTCCTCTGAGGAGAGGCTTCCTTGCCCTTCATGACAATGGCAGGATAACAGAGCTGCCAGGCAGGGAATGCGGCCCCTGCAGACAAAAGCATCCAACTGCATCAAACATGCAACAAGTTCCAGAACCCATTCCAGTTTCATGCCCTGTACCCAGTGGACAAAAAAACCACCCTCCATTTAAGCTGGCAGGGCACAAATTCATCACTCCTGACAGCTTTGAGAGGTCAGAGCTGATGGGAATGCTGTGGCTTGGATCAGGATCCCAGGCAGCAGCATGGGAGCAGCAGAACCATCCATCTTCTTCAGCACTGAAACTCCAGCAGGGCCCAGGACAACTTCTTATCAATCTCAACCTGTCAAGAGAACAGCCAACGTTTTGTCTATCCACTGTACCAAAGCTTTCAAATGCACCCCAGTCCCCATAAAAAACATTAGACAAGGGCTGCTCTGCACAGAGCAGAAGTTTTCTCCCTGCCAGGCACTGCAAACAGGATGAACTCAAACTGCACTGTGCGAGCTTTCACAGCAGGACTTGACTGGGGGAACTAACAGAACAAGAAAGTGCCAGAGAAATATTCAGTCACTTCAACCAGCCCCACCATTTGAAATGAGCACTCAGTTCAGAAGTGTCCTTCTGCTCTCAGAGGGCACAGTCCTGCTCTTCAGGACTTCAGCTCCCCTGGAGACAGAGCAGCTGCACCTCAACAGCAGCATGAGGCAGAACTGGACGAGCCAGTGGCAGCAGCTGTTTATCTGAGGATCTGGTAAGCACATTTTCTGAAGAATTAAGTGAAATGCTAACCTGTAGCCAGGCAGGTTTTCAGATGCCATATAGTTTATCTTCAAGTAACAAAAACAAAACCAAAAGCAATCCCTCCTCTTGCAAACGGACACATTGCTGAAAGCACGACTTCCATCCACTTGTCAGGACATGAGAATCTCCTATTCTGGGGGAACCCCAAAAACTACAAGGAACAAAAGCTCCCGGGATCTTCAAGAAGTACTTTGTNGGCCCCTTCTGCAAAACTAATCCCCAAAGCGCCAAACCTCAGGGACTTTTAACTTGTCAAGGCACTGCACAAGCAACTTCCTTGGAAAAATGTGTTATTTCCCATTTTCTTTATTAAAACCAGTGAACATAGGTGAATTAAAAGACTTACCATTCTCTCCCCTGACAAAGAGGCACATGGTGGAGAAACCA